AGCAGGTGTCGCGCGCAACAAGATGAGTTGCGCGTGGCATCCCATTGCAAGTGATTAGGTTGCGCTGCTATGGGCAGCACAACTAATTGTCTTGCGCTCGGCTTTATGGTAAGATTCGATTTTATATTTTTCTTATAATTTTAAATCTTCCGCAGCGCAACTCTAAAGGTTGCGCTGGGTGTTGCGCGCAACTAATTCAGTTGCGCGCGACAGCCTAGCGGGACTGTTTGAGATGCGTACGGCTTTTTTGCGGCAGCATTAAAATTTAACCTAGGCGCTCCTAAATCCGTCATTATTAGGTTCTAAGCACGGGCTTAAGCCTAATTATTATCGGGTTTAGTTAATTAGACCTTTGTTTTGGCTTTTATCTTTAATTAGGGCTAGTATTTTATGTTTTGTGGCTTAACCAGTTCTCCATAAGTATTCTTTACTTCAATCCAACACGAAGATGGTTTTATTTATCGTCATTGCACTTCCTATCGGGACAGGAGGCCAAAAGTAGATGTCTACAGTTAGTCCCCACTTTGATCGATTCTAGAATAGAAGATGATCAAAGTAGTCAAGGAAATCAATCCGAGACTCATTCTGCAAAGTTCTCTAAGGGTAGAAAGTCTTTTAGAATGTTTAAGGATGTCGAAACAATCCTTGGTTCGCTAAGTGATTGAAAGATGTAGCTATTAAGGCTATAAAAAAGGTTTCCCTAGTCTTAATTCGCTAAAGAATCTAGATTGATCCTTTGCTATTGTAGAACGCTTTTACAAGTAAAGGTGTTCTGGGTGATATCAAGTCATGAGAAGAGATCGGTTTTAAAAGGATAAAAGTGGAAGATTTCCTCTGATCTCAATAGTGTTATCATTGGTCTAAAGTCCCTCGATATGTCATTGAAACTTTAGCCTGACTTTAGCAAGTAAAAAGATGAGAAAGGTGTTTTCAGTATTCAAGCCGAAAAGGACCGGTACTCGAAACGTGTCCGGTATTCGAGCCGGATGTCCACAATATAGAAATACATGTCTTAGGACTGGAGGCATATATCCAAATCCAGTGAGAGGGAAGAAAGTCAGCAACTCTCTCAGCAGTTTTGTCCACAAGATGAGTACACGTGTTTCAAGACTAGGGGCACGTGACTACATAGGCGCGACATCATCTCGTCGCTTCTTTATACAGGGGATGATTCGACACCCTAACTGCCCGGTAAGCTAGTAAGCGCACTAACTACCGTATTTGCTCCCATTCAAGAAGTGCCTGTTCCTGATGGTTCGGCGCGCTTGTCGACTTGTGAGCTAACGCCTACAGTAATTCTCTACCTTTTAGTTTCGAGAGGTAGATCTCGCAAAGCTTGGGCTGAAGTGAAATTTTACGCAACACCTAGGCCGTACAATTTTGCGCCGTACGATACGCCATTTGCATTTTAAGCTGCATGAAAACGCCTTCCTTTTTGCTTCAGACGTGAAAAAATAAGAAAACCCGGACATTTGTAACGTCAGTACAGTAAAATGACAAACCTGTCTATGGGTGCTTTTACGTAAAGCACCACCACGGAACGTCTTAAGGCACTCTTACGAAAAACGTTCAAAACGTATGCTTGGGGAAGGCATAAAGCACGGTGTGCATGTAAGAATGATGCAAAAAACTAACAAAGAAGAAAACAAACTACAATATGCAAAGCAATTTAAAAAGATTTTGATAATTTGCGCGCCATTACGTCTAATAACGAGCAAAAACCGTTAAAAATTGATCAAACGGATCAAAATCAAGATTCCTGTCATTTTAGTGACCAGTACCCGCGCGCAACTCAGTGGGTTGCGCTGGCCAGGCGCGCGCATCGTTATTAGTTGCGCTGGAATGTCACGAGCAACAGATTCAGTTGCGCGCGAAATTTATGTCAATAAAATGAAATCGTTGAGCGCGTTTCATTTTGTTCTTTCTTTCTCCTTCCTTCGCCATTTTCGCCCCTTTCTCTCTAGGAAGCCCGGATTTTCTTGTTTTTCGAAGCTAAAGGAAGTAGATCTCGTCCATTATTCATATTTTCCATAATCGAATGTAAGTTTTTTGTTATTTTTCGTTTGATTTAGGCTTAATTGGGACTATTTTCGCACCGTTGAACCCTAAACTTTGAATTTGGGGGTTTTTGATTCGGTCCATTATTCTTGAAATTGTTAGTTCAATGTTGTTACGCTATGTTTGAGGAGTGTTTTGCAACAAATTTCATGAAAAATGGTTAAGTATTGAACCTTGTACGAGCATTTCTTTGTGTGAGTGCGTTTTTTTGCAATTCTACTCGAATTTGGTTTGATTTTATGTTACTTTGTTTTCTCATTCTGGTTATACTTGTTAATTATGCAGCAATTGTAGTATTAGAACTAGTTTTGCTTCCATAATTAATATTTTGAAAATTTTAAATTTGAAAAAATTGGTGCGAAGTGTTTACTTAGCCTATTTTTGCCATATTCGAACTTCAAGATTGTTTGGTGGACGATAATTGTGTTTATATTACTATTATTCGTCTAGAAGTAGTTGATTCTTTGAGATTTTGGAATATTATCCCTTGAATACTTAGTTGAAACTGGTATAGGATGGCTTTTGTGGGTGTTAGAATCCCCCATCTACTGAGTTTAACTGCAGGTATTGTAGCCCCCAAGTATGGGTGGCATTCGATTTTCGTGTTCTTTCCTATCGGCAGCTGTTATGCTGCCGAAATGGGTCTAGAATATGTATATTAGTTTAGTTTAGGAAATAAAGTAAAGAAACTTTATCCATCATGGCATGGACTCGCCTCCATTTGTCGATGCTGAGGAGATTCTAGGTGGTCCAGACCAGGCGGTTTGCCCTCGGAAGAGGGTGACCCATCCTCGAGAGGAGGTTCGAGCGCAGCGCGTCGCAGCCGATCGTTGTCGCCAGGAGGATGTGGTTTGGGAGGCTCCTCCCAATTGGGACCCAAGGGTCCATAAGTGGGACCCAAACCATCATGTCTCGATCAGAGGGTGGCGCGGCATCGTGAGTTCTTTGCGCCTTTGTCTCTTTCTTTTTCTTTTGTTTCTTCTCCTTTTTAAACCATAACCATTCTTTTTATTCTTTTATTTTCCTTAGAATGAGCCTAGTATGCGTTTATACGGCTCTAGTGACCTGCGCGCCCGTTTTTAGAGTTTGCCCGAGGCGGTAAAGGAGATTGTGGCACTTTCCGGGATTGACTCCCAGCTGGTGGCTCTTCGGGATTTATCGAGTCAGCCTGCATCATCAGCTTTCCTCCGTGGAATACTAGAGTTTTGGTGGTATTCCACCAACACTTTCCACTTTCTATGGGGAGAGATGACGGTTACCCCTTTTGATTTCTCTATGATTACGGGTTTTTCTTTTGGAGGCGAGCTCGTACTCATAGAGCTCATTAAGGGGTCAGACGAGAGACTGCGCGACCTTGTGGGGGACCGTCTTGCGTCGGCCCTTCACGTGTACGTGCAGTCTTGTTCGTACTCGATTCTTACCGACGAGTTGTCGGGTGACGAGCTTGATCGGCAGTGTACACCGCTGGCTCTGATATACATTGCTCACGTTCTTTCCGTCACCATCTTGAGTGATCAAGGAGAGAGTTTCTCCATTGGGTTACTTATTTGCCTCAGCGATTTGGGGCAAGTAGGTGAACTGAATTGGGCGGAGGTGTCGTATGCCCGTATGCTTACAGCTATCATTAGTAGAATAAATGAAATTGGCAGCCCTAAATTGGAAGCGGTTTTCCAATTCCGCTTCCAAAAACCCAAAAATACACTCCAAAAAAAAATTTCACTTATTACAAAAAGGGAGTGGTTTTGGGTTAACCGCTTCCAATTTGCTATAAAAACCCTAAAAAGTAAACCCCCTATTTCTCACGCTCTCTCTCCTCTCTTCCCTCTTTCTCACGCCGCACGTCTCTCTCTCCTCTAATTTCTCAACTAATTTTGTTTTCCCCTCATGCCTCACTTCTCTCTCCTCTCTCCCCTCTCCCCTATCGTCCTCCTTCCTTTCTCATATCCTTTCCTCTCTCCTCTTATCACCGACAACGAGTACCATCGAGCAGCCCACACTGACTACTGACGCCGAGCACCACCGAGCAACCCTTCTTCTCTCCTCTTATGGCAAGAATTTTAATCTAGTTTTTTTTCCTCTTCAAATTTCATCTTCTATATGAAATTCTGGGTTGTTGGATTATGTTTTGCTTTGAATCGGTTAGATTTATGAATTTTTTTTTATGTTTATGAGTTCTAAATTGGTTAGGATTTGTTTATAGTTCTAAATTTCTTGGTTCGTTTTTTTTTTTTGGATTTTAATTTCTGGGTTCGTTTTTAAAATTTTTTTGATATTTTTTTTATCTAAATTAGATCTTCCCTTATTAGATTGTTCAATTTTTTTATCTGATTTTTTAGGTCTTTCGTGTTTTTAGATCTTTCGTTTTTTATTTTTTATTTTATTTTGTTTGTCCATTTTTGCTTCAGATTGCGGTGGTGAACAGCAGGGTGGTGGCGGCAGAACATCACGACGATGGTGGCAGATTAGCATGGTGGTGGTGGCAGAATACCACGGCGGTGGTGGGCTGGTGGCTTCATTAGATTTTTTTTATGGTCAGTAGATTTTTTTAATTAAAATGTAATTTTCTTTTTGGAAACAATAATATTAAAATGTAATATTACATTAAATTATCAATGGAAATATATATTTTTATACATATGTATAGTTGTTGTGTATTAATTTATGAGAAAAAAGCAAAAAATAAAATATAAAAAATAAAATAAAAAATTATTTTTAAAAGGCAGAAAGGGAAGCGATTTGGCGCCAAAACCGCTTCCCTTTCACCCTAAAAGGGCAGCAGTTTGAACCGCTTCCTTTTCTAAAGCCTAAAGGGAAGCCCTTCAAATCGGAGCGGTTAAAAACCGCTTCCCTTTTGGGGGTTTGAACCGCTTCCAATTTGGTTTTTTCTACTAGTGTATGGGCAAGGCGACCCGGGTGATGGATTCCGCGGCAGCTACTGAGGTGCCTCGGATCTCCTTTACATGGCATGGTCGTATCCTTGAGGTACGTGTTTTAAGCTTCTTTCGATTATTACTTTTGCATTTTTCCTTTAGGCTTATCTTTTCTCGGTTTCAGGCTTGGGGATACTCGTACCTGCCTTAGGGTGTTTGAGGCTGCTCGTTTTCCTATCGGCTATAGATTGGTCGCGATTAAGAAGAGACAAGCCACTTCTGCCGGCGACTTTCGCCAGAGGATCCTTTCGGCGACTCGTGCGTCAATGAGTATTCTAACTACATGTGCATTTTTTTATTTTATTTATTTTCTGACAATTTTTCATGTGGTTGTGTTTTATAGATCGATCTCCGTCCTTGGAGTTTGATCGTCGGAGTCCCTAAGGTTATCTGGTATGGCATGATTCGTTGCCGTTTCCAGGCCCCTATTCGGGACTCTTGGTTTTTAGGTGAGCGTGTTCTCTGGCATCTTTCGTCCCGAGGAGCCTTTGGTTCCTGCGGATCCTTCGATCCGGATGATACGTCCGGACTTGCTTTCTACCAAGGATCGAGCTCAGGCGATCCTTGGTTATCCAACGGAGCAGCTAGTGCGGCCGGAGGTTTGTTATCCGGCTTTTATAGCATCCAGGGTGCCTCATTTTCCGGCTTTTGTTACGGTTAGTACTCTAACTCTCTCTTTTCCTTGTTTCTATTTATCTTTCAGAACTTTGACCCTTTTATCGTTTTTTGTCATATATATATATTTTTTAGCAGGTCGAGCTAGGTGGTTGGGTGCCTCGTACAGCGGAGATCACTTATACCGATGCTGTCGGATCGGTAATTCGTGAGACCCTTCACGTAGCGGAGGATGATGAGGGGATACCGTTTGTACCTGAGACAGTTGAGTCGGTATGTCTTTTTTGTATATGTACTTAAACATTTCTATTTATTTTTTGTTTCATATACATTTGTTTACTAACTGTCCTTGTATTCTTGGAATAGGTTCTGCGATAAACCGTGAACGACATGGGGAGGACTTTACGTGCTTTCCGAGCTTCTTATCGGAGAGCCCTCGTGACTTTATCATGCCGTGATCATCGGATGATCGCAGTAAGTTTTATTTCTTTTCTTTTCAACGAAGTTATTACATTTCATGTATTAATCTTCGTTTTGGATTTTGCAGGATGTGCAGCAACCGTCTAGTAGTCGCCGAGCACCCTGATTCCTTTTTTACACATATTGTTATTCATTTTAGGAAACATATGTATATATATTTTTTGTACATATGACACATTTGTATATATGTCATCATTATTATATTTTTGTTTCCATGTGTACATTATTATTATTTTTATTATTAAAAGAAAAAAAATTTCGAGGGAGGGAAAGGGTTCCCGATTTACCCTGCTCGAAAAAAGGAAGGCGAAAAGAAAACAAAAAAGAAGAAAAAAGAGAAAAAAGAAAATAAATAATAAAAAAGAAAATAAGAAAGTAGGAAATTAATAAAAAAGAAAAATAAAAAGAAAATAAGAAAGTGGGAAAATAATAAAGTAAAATAAAAAAATAAAAAATAAGAGAAAATTAAAAGAAATTAAGAAAGTAGGCAAGAAAAGGGACACAAAGGGTTAAAAGGCAAGCGTATGATTCGTCTTAAGATTTCGTGACGATTCCGTCATTATGTGAGCCAAAATAGGGAAATAACTCCAACTCACATGCTGCGATTGGGGAGACACGCGCAACTCTATGAGTTGCGCGCGGCTGTCGCGCGCATGTGAATTAGTTGCTCGTGGATGTCGCGCGCAACTCATGAGTTGCGCGTGCCACCTGTTGGTGAACTTTCCTTTAAGCCGAATTTGCCGAAAATTTGCCCCTCTTGGTTCTATTTAAACGTGGTTTCGTGTAGGCTTTTGATCATCTCGCATTCATTCGCTTAGTAATATAAGAAACTAAAAAGAATTAATCTCTCTAAATTCTTATTCTCTTTTTTTTTTTAACAATGGTGAAGACCTTTGAACAACGTTTGAAGCAATGGGTCACTTCCCTTTCAACCGATGACAAACTAGCTTTCAAAATTTACCACCTAGACCTTCTATTGAATTATATGCAACTAGTGGTTAACTTTGATTTTTTTCATGCCGCAGTCAACCATTGGGACTCTAACCACCATCTTTTCTTGTTTAAAGGGGACGAGATTGTCCCTCTACCCGGTGAGTTTGAAGCCTTGATAGGTTTCCCTACAAATACTCTCCCTGTGACTTATTCGCCTACCTTGTCGGATCCCAAACCTATATTCCAAAGATTTTTTGGCTTGTCCGACAATGACATGACCAATATTGGAACTGAAGAAGGCGTGAACTTGATTCAATTTATTGAACATTTTGTCGCCCCTCGTGACAACATGACTTAACAATGCTTTAAAATTCGTGCTTTATGTTATTGTCACGTTGTTAATTAATTACTTAGGACAGGAAAAGAATACGGAGATTATTCCATGGTGTCCATAGTAGAGCTAATAGAGGGATGTCATTCACCCGTCCTTTGGCTTTAGCGAAAACTGTTCTATGTTTGAATCGCTTTAGAGGAGACCTTAACGAAAACGGGTTCACAGGAAGTCCACTCCTATTACACGTACGTTTTTTTTCGTCGTTTATCAACGCAAGTTACGAAGTTGCGCTAGCATGACCAGCGCAATCTTCTATGCTGCGCGCGGATGGCGCGCGCAACTGGTTTTGATGCGCGCGCCGCCTGCTTGTGTAAAAAATCATAAACTGATTTTTTTTCCCATTTTTTTTTTGTAGATTTGGCTCATGGAGAGTTTGCGAATTGTTGATCAGCCATAAAATGTTGTGGCTAATGGAGTAAGGACATTCCCTGGACGTCGAATCCTTTATAAGCATAAGAATGAAGAGGAATGGACTTCGTTTTTCTGTCACGGGATTCCTAACATACGTTTTGTGATTCTTTGGTGGAACATAAATAGTATGGTTGGGAATAATCTCAATTTCCCTTACATTAGGCTTTTAGGCCTATCTAGTTTACTTATATTTTTCTTTCCAGGGTAATGAGACAATACAAGATGAAACAAATTATTCCCCCGCAAGATTGTGATGCCCCTAGAGATGTGACTTTTAAACCCGAGCAAATTTTTCGTTGGATAGAGTATTAGTCAAGTCTTCCTAGATGGGTAGTACAAAATCCTACAGCAAGTATTGCATTATCTTCCTTTTACAAAGCTTGGAAGAATGCGGCGAATAAGGGCGAATTAAACAAGGCTCGATCTCAATATCAAACCGTCACGGCTTGCAATCAACCTAATCCCTTCATGCATTCGGCCACCACTACTCCTACTAGTGGCCAAAACAAAGGGGTGAGAAGAAAATTAGACTTCTCATCTCCTAAGGCGCGTTCGAAGGAAATAAAAAGGAAAGCTCCCTCCAAACCCGCGCAACGAGGTGTGACAATCAAGAAACCTTTGCAACAAACTCGAAAAAAGACTCTAATGAAATCTTTGGAAAAGGGAAAAAAGGTTGAAAAGACCCCAATTCCCAAATTGAAGAACAATGAATGGGTTAAGAAGAAGAGCGTAGGAGAAAGCTCTAAGGTTTCTGAAAATACTGCGATGGAAACTACTCCTCCATCGTCCGTGAAAATTGAGGATATAGTAAAACCTTAGAGTGTTAAATAGTTTCGCTATTAGTTTTAAATTGAATAAAGTGTAATCACTACTATGTTTTTTTTTTTCGTTTAAAATCTAGCTCAATAATGTCTCTCCTTTCTTTGAAATTTGAATGAAATAAAATGAGCTTTATATTTCTATATTTTTATATGACCAAATCATAAAGATTACCTACGTATTCGCATTACGAAATAAGGTCTTTGCGTAGTTATAATATTTTTTTTTAATTATGTGTTATTTTTTTTCTTTAATCTCGTAAGTGGAAATTAAATGAAAATTAATCAAACCTTGTTTAAAAAGAGTTAAATCAAAGTTTAATTTTATTTTTCGAGTATATGTTATATTTAAGAAACACGCTCTTTTTGCCGCATGTAGAAGTTGCAACTTCGTTCAAACGTAAAAATTCGGGTTCGCAGTTGTCATCAGGTGGTGCGCGCAACATCTGTAGTTGCGCGAGCCTATCGCGCGCAAAATCTATAGTTGCGCGAGCCTGTCGCGCGCAACATCTGTAGTTGCGCGAGCCTGTCGCGCGCAACGAAATTTGTTGCACGTGACATCCGCGCGCAACTATTCCAGTTGCGCGCGACACCTGTGCTACGAATGTCTCAAAAAAAAAATTTGTTTTTTAAAAAAAATTTCGTGGTGTTCGAAAAATCTGAACACTTAGAATGGTTTATTATTTCTAAATTACCCCCCCCCAAGTGTTATGTATTTTACTGTATTATTCGGTAAAATGCATAACATTTAGAATCTTTCCATTGAAAGCTAATTAAAATTAGTTGTATGAGTGAACGAGTTTATCCGGATTTCATATGTAATATTTCTTAAGTCGATCAATGTTTATTTATTGGCGAATTTCATCTCCTCCGATATCCATTAATGTGAAGGCTCCTCCTAGAATTTCAATTACATGGTAGGGACCTATCCAATTAGGTTTGAATTTCCCTCTTGGATCGATTGGTGGACCCCTAACCTCCTTTAGTACAAAGTCACCTTCTTTTATGTTTCTGGGTTTGACTTTTTTATTGAAATGACGCGCAATGCGCCTTTGGTAGACTTGTACATGATGCAAAGCTCTTAATCGTCATTCATCGAGGAATAAAAGCTCTTCATACCTCGCTCTTACCCATTCAGCTTCCGGTAGCTTACTTTCAAGTACGATGCGTAGGGATGGTATTTCTAGTTCGACTGGTTGAACTGCGTCCATTCCAAAACTAAGGAGTATGGAGTTACTTCTATTGATGTTCGTATAGACGTTCTATAACCCCATAATGCGAAGTGTAGTTTATTCGGCCAGTCTTTATAATTCTCTGCCATTTTCTTAATGATGATTGTTATATTTTTATTTGCCGACTCTACAGATCCATTCATTTGAGGTCTGTATGGGGATGAGTGATGATGTTTTACTTTATAACGAGTTAAGAGGGTCTCAACTTCAGCTTTAAATTGAGATCCCTGATCACTAATTAGTTCATGTGGAACTCCATATCTAAAAAATATGTTTCATTCGAGAAACTTTGCGACATGTTTAGAAGTGATATTCACATAAGAAGCAGCCTCAATCCACTTAGTGAAGTAGTCGATGGCAACTAATACGTACTCCCTGCTCCTGTTGGAGAGATTTTTCCAATTATGTCAATTCCCCAAGTTGAAAAAAGGCCAAGGGGAAGTGAGATTGTATAGTTCGGATGGTGGAAGGTGTTGTAAATTAGCGAACATTTGGCACTCTGGACATTTTTTAACATATTATATGAAATCATGTTCCATAGTTGACCAATAGTACCCTTGTCGTGAAATTATTTTTGAAAGCATTTTACCATTCATGTAAGGTCCACAAACACCTTTGTGAGTATTTTCCATAAGGCGTGTGGCTTCAGGTTGGTCTATACACAATAAACTTTGACCATTAGGTCCTTTTTTTTCATAATTGACCATTTAATATACCATATTGGGCTGCAAGTGTTCGTAAGGCTCGTTGGTCTTTCGATGAAGTATTTTCGGGATATGTTCCATGGGTAATATATTGGAGGATATGATCATACCAGGGACTGTCTCCTTCGATGTCATTTATTTCCTCTATTGCGTTGCAATATGCTTGTTCTTCTCTTCTATCAACGCATAATGGCATCATATTTAAGTGATCTGGAATGTTGATCATTGAGGGTAATTTTGCTAGCGCATCGGCAAATTGATTGTCATCCCTTGGGAGATATTTAAAATCTATATGTTCAAAATGCTCAATGAGTTGCTCTAGGTGTGCTTGGTATAATATCATTGTGGAGTTCTTTATTTTCCATTTTTTTTAGTATATGATTTATAATCAAACTAGAATCTTCATATGCCTCTAATTTTTGCACACATATGCTGGTTGCTGCTTATAATCTAATAATGCACGCTTCACATTCTACGGCATTATTGGTAACCTCAAAGTCTAGTTTAACAAAGATTGGAGTATGTGCTCCCTCTGGACTTATGAGTAACACTCCTACGCCGCATCCTTTTTGATTGGGCGCATCGTCGAAGTACATTACCCATTTGTCATCTTATGTCATGAGAATCTCTTTATCCGGAAGATGAGTAGTTTCTACACGACTTGTTTGAATTGGATGTTGTGCCAGAAAGTCGGAAATTACTTTTCCTTTCATAGATTTTTCAAGAATATATTTTAACTCAAATTTGGCCAACATCACCAACCACTTAGATATCCTTCCTTGTATAGGTGGTTGTTCAAACAAATACTTTACCGTGTTTT